CTCGGCTGCAGAATCGAGTGGGGTCAGAGCCAGGGGCTTGAAACCCACATGCCAGGCCTCTAAGCCCGCATCCGTTTGGTGGGGCCCGGCACTATTCAGAATCTTTTTAGGGTTTCGACTCTCACGCTCTCACAAGGCAGGCAAGGCGGTTTAGGGTTTAGGGTCGACACATGTTTGCGATTAGGTCTTGGGGGGCGGCACACGGAAAGGAGGGCCCTCTCTTTCTCAACCACATGCAGCCTCACACAGGAAGCTCAGGGCACGTGGCATTCTGGAAGCTCGTGTCGTCCTAGCCTGTCAAGCCCCAAAACCGCTGAGGTCCAAGTCGCTGTCCCTTCCTACATAAGCACTCGTGGCCATCAAACCCTTTGCCCTGCAACACACAACCTCCAAGCTTTAACACAGATTGGATATTTGAAAGTGGTAGAACTCACGTAGAAGGTTCTAAAACAGATGCTCGAATTTTTTTAATTTTGAACTCACTTAGAAGGTTCTAAAACAGATGCTTCAACATTTTTAAATTTGAACTCACTTAGAAGGTTCTAAAACACATCTGTGAAAACTGGCCGTTTTCCCGTCTGAGCCTTGGCTCCAAACAGGGGCCCCTGCGGTGAGTCGGTGCTGTCAAAACTGGTCGGCAAACAGACTCTGACTGTACATGAGTGCTGTAGCTTTTACCTAACAGGCTTCGTACGCGCTGGTCTACGAGGACTATTTCACACCCGTGACTCTTCTGGCGTAGAAGCCTGGCCTGTACAAGGTCCAAACGAAGAGTGGATCTAATCCATCACTTCCAGCCCGTCCGCAGGGTCTGCAGTCTTCCTTCTCTGAAGCTGCTTAGCCCTTTTCTTGATCACGGACTCAATCGGCTGCTCGACTTTCAAACAGTTAGTGAACAAACACTCAACTAACTTGGTGCTCTCCATGACTTTTGTCAGTGGATCTGCTACCATGACGTCTGTGTCGATCCAGCGAACTTCGTCCGTTGGCTCTTCTGGACGGTCGTCCTGATAATAAGGATCGCCGTATTGTTCTCCCTTTGCTCTCCATAGGGATTCTCGCATTGAGGCGATCTCGATAGAGAGTCGCTTATCCTCATGCTTGCTCATCTTAGGGTTTCGGAGCGTGTCACTTAGACTACGACAATCCGTAAACCACACCTGCCTCATAAACGCCGCAGAAGATGCTTCCCACTTCTTGCGGTCAAGTTTGCCGAAAAGATCTGCGACGGCAGCTCGCAGTCTATCGCCTTCTTCAACTCCTGCCTGCAGGGTATAGGCTTCGGCTTGCAGCGTGGATCTACAGACCCTACGCACTTTCCTTGAGGCGTAACTGATGAGGTGCATATGCCCTTCATCTGATGAGATCAAACTGGGGGTTCCAAGGGCATTCAACCTAGCTCCTTGGCTTCGGTAAGGTTCCACAGAATCCTCACCTTTGACCTTCATCACCTGACTCTCATTTGCATGGCTGGCGTCAGTGATGACACACGAAATAAGGTTGTCCCAATCCAGAACGTTTGCTCTGAAAGTCAAACCTCTATCCGGCGTCGCTAACGCATAGTCGACGGCTTTGTTCGCCTCTCGAAGGTCTGCTACAATTCCTCCTGCGCTAGCGGACTGCATTCGACTTACTCGATATGCTAAGTCCGGACGACATTGCCTCGCCACCCAAGACAGACTTCCTGCTACGCTTTTTAGCTGTAGCTTGTCTTTATCAGTCAAGGGCTCACCGGGTTTTCGTTTAGGGGCAATAAAAATCCTCCTAACTTTCAATGTCGTTTCTTTGCAGGTGACAGTGATAGTGTAATCATCTGCCTGGGAAACTTCCTTCCCGCAGTAACGGAAAGTTTTTCGCTCTACTTTTCCGCACGAAAACTCCTTCAGCAATTCCTCGATGACAGGCTCTGCTTCTGGCTCGGCTGCCCACAGCAGGTCATCTACGTGTGTGCAAAGTAGCGCAATAATACGTCCCTCGTTGTTGCGGAGAACATAAAGTGCTTTGAAAATGGCGTTTTCCAGAAAACCTCTTTTCTGCGCACTGGTCTTGAGACGTTTCCAAAACTTACGTCCTCCGTCATGAGTCCCGTACACGGGTACCCTTGCCAGAAACCTTCGCTCTGGGGGCTCCCCTGGGAGTCCTCCCTTTGGCTGTCTGAGGATTAGTACTCTGTCTAATTCCTCTCCTTGAAAATAGGCATTCGTGATGTCGGCTGAGCCTATTCTCACCTTCCGCGAAGCGGCGAAGCTGAATATCAAATTCTGAGCTTCGATATCTGCCGTCGGAGAATCCGATCGGATATCCCCCGACTCCAAATCTCCTCTGGTGACGAGTCGACTTTTATGCCGTACTTCAATATCTGGTTGCGTGCCTCTAAGTGCATCGTTCTTATCTGTGTCAACCCACTTGAGCGGTACTTCCTCATGGCCTTCATCTTTAAGCTTCTGGTACTGCTCTTCATCGAGATCAAGTGCAGCGTTAAACTCTTTCCACTTGTCCCATTCGACCTTACGGGATCCGTCGATTCCCTTTTGCAACTCTGGTGAACACTTTTCGTACGTGAACACCTTGTTCTGCGCAGCTTTCTTCTTGTTAGAATAGCTGCTCCTTTTCTTCAACCACTTTCGGGCGCTTTCTGAGTCTATTCGATCGGCCACAAAAGCTCTATACTTGTTGCACTCTTTCGATCCATACGTGGGAATCTTAAACTGTGCCAATAAAGCATCAGCTGTGTCCTCTTCTTCGGGAACCGGAATGTCCGCCGCGTCAAGTTGCGGATCATTCTCTGCTACGGCTTCCACCGTAGGCCCATCCATCTGTTGAGCGTCTTCTACTTCGGGTTCTTCTATCGTGGGCTCTACACGGGGCTCTGCCCGTGACTCTTCAGGAGTAAGTCCCACTCTCCTTCTCACTGTCCTCAATCCTTCCAAAGGATTTGAGCGTATGGCAGAAGACGGACGTGCAGAGTCACTGTCCTCTTCATCGTCTGCATCACTGTCGTGCGCTCGCGCATCGACAAATCGCTGCTGCTCTCTCTCAGATTCTAGGTGTTCGTACTGTAAGTTGCCTTTACTCAAAATCTGATAAGCTAGAACTTCCGCCAAAGTACACGGTCGGAGTTTGCCTAAACTAGTTGCTACGGGCACGCCTCTGTGCGTTACCCAGACGGTCTTCCCATCAAAACCAATGATGCGGGAAACTCCACTCCAGCTAGGCACACCGCTCGAGTCTCTTTCGATCCGGTAGCACACCAAGTCTCCTGCGGAGTACTTGCCTGGTAGTGGTCCCGACTTGCGCAGCACGGCGGCTCTAGCTCGCCTTGAAGTATCTGCCTGTACGTACGCTCTTCTCGCAGTGTGGCGGTACTCTATGCTGCGTCCAAATGCTGTGGAGGGGTCCATCGCTCCACTGAGTACTCCTAGCTGACCTAGCTCATCCTCATCCAAGAGATGTCCTATGCCTCTAGGTTGCCTTCCAAGTACCCATTGCGACGGGGAAAATCCTCCGTGTCTCACAAATTCATTCTTGGCAACTTGACATTCTGTCATAGCTGCTTTCACCTGTTCTTTACCTTGCAGGTGGTGCTGTCTGCACACTCTTCGGTAGGCTCTTTTAATGATACCTCCGTGCCTTTCACATCTTCCGATGTGTTCTGGACTTTCAAGACCGGCTTGCCTCAACACAACGCCATGTTGCGAAAGTCCGGTTGCAAATGCACCGCGATTGTGCAATCCCCGATCTGTTGAAACAGATTCGGGCCATCCAGCCCACTGTACCCAGTGTCTCTGGAACTTTTTCAAACACTGCGCGCTGGTAGGTTGTCCTTCTCCTACCCTGACCAACGCAACAACTTGGTAACAAGTACCTACACATATCATGTTAAGAAACTGATATTTGGTTCTGTCCGAATCCTGAACCTCGAACACATCAATCGAAACTTCCTTGTTAAAAACATAGGAAGGTGGTGCGGAAACAGGGTGAGTCTTCGGGATCTCTTGTGAAACAGCACATGTAGGGCACCTGAATGCTTTCGCCGCCCTAATCATATCGTCCGAAGCTCCTGAACCTCTCAAAACCTGCAACAAAACTTCCTTTGGCTTGTGTGACATCATGTTGTGAAGTCGCCTAATTGCGATCCTCACCTTCCTAGGAACCTTAGCCCACTCCCTACGCCTTTCGGCCTCATCCTTAGGGAAACCGGCGAGGGGTAAGGTATCCAACAAGTCATCCTCATGATCTTGCATCGGGTCAACAAAGTTGAGGTCCAAACCTTCAACATCCTCCCCTAAAGGAACAGTGTCAAGAGTACCCAACTCCATATGATCTTCAATCAAAGCTTCAACAGGGAACGCAACATGAAGATCGTGATCATGAAGAGTCTCTTCCAAAACATCAACAATCAACCGACTGAAACCTTCGTGAGTGTGTATCGTGTCAATGCTTATCGGGGCATAGTAGCGACTATGATCCTGACTAGCCCACAGAGAAAGGGTCTCCCCCAAGCCTTGGCTACTAGTGCCTATACAAAGGTCACCTCTAGCGTAGTGAAGTTCAAAACTTTTACTGTCGTCCCTTTCCAAACCTTCCAAATCTTTCCACCTAACTGAACCCACTTCGTCTAAAACGCAAACGCACATTTCACTCTGCGAGAGCAAGTCCTGTAGCCACTCCGAGGCGGTCTCTGAGAGCTGCTTGGCGCAGTCTCCCGGAAACAAGACTAAGAGTAGGTCTGGGTGAAACGATTGGATCTGTTGGGACACTTTATGCCTCCAACTCGCAGTCTCATACCCGGCCAGATCTGGTCCGGGGTCTGCTGCTTTCATTTCGGCCTCTTCAAAAGGTCCGAACCATTGCCCAAGAAGGAATACCTTTCTTGATTCTTCAGGGGTCGTAAACGATCCCCTCAACTCCTTCCATAGCAGCGAATCTCGCTTGCTCATTTGTCGAGAGCCTTTCTCAAAGGTCTCTCTTTCCTTTGTGCCCATTACAGGCGCTCCAGG